AAAAAACGTATCCTACAAGATATATGGTAGTTTCATTGGCTAAATAAAGTTTGCATACAAAAACAGAAAAAGCTGATAATTTCTTTAGCACCTCGAGGGATACCAGGAGACCCAGGTGACCCAGGACCCAGAGGAAACCCAGGACGACCAGGACCATCAGGCATTCCAGGAGAACGGGGAATACAAGGAAGACCAGGTGATCCCTATAGGTTTGATTTTAGAACTTTCTGGATGTACTTCAGCAGCACAATTAAGAAACTGATGTTTCCAATGTTTACCCTATTCATAGTTTGATTCAGGAAAAAAATAAATTTCCCCCTGTCCTTAGCTTTTTTTTCTCCATCATTAAAGGGAAAAAAGAATTCTGTGCAAGTAACCATTTCAATTTTGTTCTCATATAAAATATTGTAAATATGTAACGTGTCAGCCAGAAACTGGATTCAGTTGTATAAAATCTTTGAGTGTATTTAATTTAAAATAATTTAATCTGGATTTAAATTTAGCTCCTTTAACCATCAATTTAATCTACAATAATAATCAGTTTCTTCAATTTGACACTTGATTTTATTCCCTCAAATAACATTGATTTGTTTCCTATATATAAATGCTTGTTTGAGCTCTTTTGTGTATACCTATGTATACGTACAGGCTCCCGAGGACCCCGTGGTCCACAAGGCCATCCAGGTCTTCCAGGTCTTCCCAGTGATCAAGGAAGTGTGGGACTACCAGGCCCCCCTGGCCGATATGGGCCCCCAGGTACAAACATAATTGTCTCAATCCAAGAGTTTAGATGTGTTCATATTGTTTAAGGATGAAGTAAAACATTAAAATGGTTATGAACATTATGAACAGATTTGCTTTCTTCATTTATTTTTTGATCATATAGCATAATATATCATATAATAATTAATTATATGTAATAATAGAATACAAGATGAAAAAAAACTGAAACAAGAAGCATGATTTTGCAATCATAGGACCAAACAAGGCAATTTACACATCATCACACTGTGCTTGTTATGTTAGGGCCCCCTGGACCACCAGGTCTAGATGGACTGTATGGGCTTACAGGTCCAAAAGGGATGAAGGGGGCAAGTGGTAAGAGAGCATTATATGATATTATTCCTTTTCTATGTCTTTTAGGACTGTAGGAATTTTGTCGCAGTTGGGTGCCAGTCGTATAGCACATTATTTATTGTTACAATTAGTAATAATATGTGTAGTTGCTAATTTTTAAATTGTTTTTCTTGATACACAATCAAATGTGAGCACATTACAATGTGATGCTATGTTTTATATGTACTCACTTATAATACAGGCATAGATATCCCTGGCCCGCGAGGACCAGATGGTTTTCCAGGAGTCAAAGGGGCCAGGGGCTACCAAGGACCTCCAGGAACTACTATTCCTGGGACTAAAGGCCAAAGGGGCCCACCAGGCAATCCAGGTATCATGACTTTTATTTGTAACAGTACTGTCTGCACTAGATACAATTTTGTGTCAGGAAGAGCATCTGGCACAAAAACAGTTAAATCAAACTTGCAGAGCGACTATGCTACTATGGTGACCCCTATTGAATAAGGGAGCAACTGAAAGTAATTTTTTTATTGCTAAGGGTAGATTGTTTTTTCTTTTAGGCCTCCCAGGGCTCCCAGGTGAACCTGGTTACCGTGGTATAATCTGCCAAACACCTTTGCAGGGACCTGCTGGAGGTCAAGGATTTGAAGGACCTACAGGACCCCCAGGTATGTGTGTATACTGGGTCATCTTTAATTTACTTTGCTCTACTTTATTTCATTCTCATTAAACCCCCTCCTGGGGTAAAAGGGAAAATGTACAATGAACAAACAAAGCAGAGGGTTATTCAATACACATCATCACTATCACAAAAGGAGAAATAAGTAAATGCAACTGTCAACAAATTACCCTTTTGAATTGGATGGTGCTTTGTGCCTATGTAACTGTGTGTATGTTTGCCACTAAATATATTTATACATATTTTGAATTTTTTTAGGTCCTCCTGGAGAACCTGGGATACCAGGCTCCAGCCTTTTGTTCAAAGGAGACCCAGGACCAACTGGCCCCCACGGCTTACCAGGTGTTCGAGGAAGAAGGGGTCTACCAGGACCACCTGGACTTTCTATCCACCAAGGCCCTAGAGGACCTAAAGGTACAAACAAAACAATGGTCAATAGACATCATCAGTAACTTACAGTGCAGCTATCCAACTGATTATACTCCAAATGTTACCACACTTTGACAGGTGAGCAAGGTCCTGTTGGTCTAATGGGCCTACCTGGACCCAAAGGTCAGCTAGGTGCCCCTGGGCCCCAGGGCCCCAGCGGAGAAATTGGCCACCCTGGAAATAAGGGTAAGTTGTACTGTAGACAAGAAACTAAAATATACAAGACTTTACAGTTCAAAGCAAAATAAATTGATTTTTTTTTAAAAAAAAGTTGTAATTGTTCCTATAGTAGATGTAGTAATCAAAATATTTTTTTCTAGGTATCAAAGGTGCTCCTGGTGACTCTGTCAGTATATTAACAACCACTGCTCCCCCTGGACCTCCAGGTCCTCCTGGTAGCCCGGGATGTGTAGGGTTCCAAGGTGTCATGGGTTCTCCTGGTACTCCAGGTCGTAAAGGTAAACCTAATGTAGTCTTTGGACAGTTATAAGTGTATATTTCGTTTCTGTCTCTGTCCAACTTGAGTATTGTATAAGTCTTCACCCACTCTTTATTTCTTTATATTTTACAAGGAAATATGAAATAGGTGTGAAAATACAGTCCAAGAGGAAAAACCATAGTTTGAGTTGTCTTAGGTAAACTTCTTATTTCTTCAAATTAGATTTCTAATTTCTAATTCCTTGAAATCTTCAGGAATAGTTTTCCAGGCTTCTTAAAGGACAGTCAAAGGTCTTCTTTTGTTCTTTTTTTGTTCTCTGTCAAGATTATATTGAGGTCCAGGCTCTGGAGATTCCAGTCCATGACTGATAGTGTTCAATTATGTGTTTTTATAACCAGGTATGCCTATACAGCAGATGCTTTTCAGAGGATATTGTAAAACTCTGATGGTACTTCTCTGTGTTCATAGTTCCGTTTATGCAGCCCTAAACCACGAGAGAGCCTGTTTCAGGGCCTCTGTCTGGTCTTTATTGTATTTTTTTAAATTTCTTAAGGATATGAGTTGTATAAAGCGCTTTGAGTGCTCAGATAGATTAGAAAAGCGCTGTATAAGAACCAGTCCATTTACCATGACTTTCAAATACTGTTCATCTGATGTAGTGTTTTTAGCCCTGCCAGTTCCTCCTTTGTCCTCTACTTTTCTACTTACCTCAAATTTTTTTAAGGCATACTGCACATCATGTTGAGATATGACAGTTTTTGGCTACAAGTTCTTTGGGAATCACCTTGTTGGTGTTAAAATATATCCCCAGTTAAACTGTGTTATTTTTGACATTTTTCATAGATTCAGATAATGAAATTGTAACAAATAGCATGATTTTGTAACAGGTTGCTAGTGTTTTAAAATTACAATTGAAATTTGGGTCTTTGGTTCTAAGTTGTCTGCTATGTGTTGACAAGTCTGCTATGTGTTTGAAGCATTTTTATGCTTTAGTGTTTTATAGGTCAGTGTAAAGCGGCTTAACAACCGAACAAAAAAATCCATGCTCCTGTATACATGGCTGTATTTACTCATTTGCTTTTATCTGCATGTTTCAGGGGAGAAGGGTCCGGTGGGGTCTGTGGGCCTTCCTGGTATAACAGGTCCTCCTGGTCGTAATGGTCCAGCTGGAGATCCAGGGGCTGTTGGTTTGCCTGGATTTCCTGGACCTCAAGGTAAATATTCATATTTTCTAGATGGCTCACTAAATTAGTGTGGAAATTTCCAGATAAAATTTGGAAATTTGCTCTGGTGTACTAATATAAATAATATAGCTCTGATATGCTTTTTTTTGGGTCCTCACTTTGATGCTTTCTCCACCTAATACACATGCTCTTTGTTCAACCACAACAACTTCAAGGTATCCCAGGTCCTCCTGGTAACCAGGGTCAGCCAGGCTACAGGAGGATATTGAATGCTGGATTTCTGTTAGTTATACATAGTCAATCAGTTGAGGTCCCACAGTGCCCAGCAGATACCACTCAGCTTTGGGTGGGACACAGTCTCATTTACCTGGAGGCACAAGAAAAGGCTCACACACAAGATCTGGGTAAGCATCAGCATAAAATTGTCATTTTGCTGATCTCTTGAAATGTATTCATCCCTGGTATATAGAAATTTGAAGAAAAATTTAAAAACCCTTCCTTGTCTATATTTTATAAAATCTGTCTTTTTTCCTTGCAGGCCAGCCTGGCTCCTGCCTCCCTGTTTTCTCCACCATGCCGTTCTCCTATTGTAACAAAGCTGCCTGTTCTTATTCTAGTCGCAATGACAAATCCTATTGGCTCTCCACAACTGCTCCCATACCCATGATGCCGCTATTTGGCCAGGATATTGTGTCCCATATCAGCCGTTGTGTGGTGTGTGAGACCATTTCACCTGTGGTGACTTTTCACAGCCAGAATCCTACATTCCCTTCATGCCCACCTGGATGGAGGAGTTTGTGGGTGGGATACTCTTTCCTCTTGGTAAGTACATAAAAAAAAATGTTAAAGTGTTTCAAAGGAAAACTTGTGTCAACTCCCCTCATTGTGTACCTGCTGGCTTGCTGTCTTTAGCACACAGGATCAGGTAATAATGGTGGTGGCCAGTCACTGGCTTCTACTGGTAGCTGCCTTAAGGATTTCCGAACTCATCCCTTCATTGAGTGCCAAGGGGCACGGGGTTCCTGTCACTACTTTGCCAATCTCTATAGTTATTGGCTGACTACTGTAAGCCCAGCAAAGCAATTCATAAGCGCAAGTCCTGGCACCATCAAAGCAAGCGACCAACAGCGACACAGGACCAGCCAGTGTAATGTCTGCCACAGAGAAGGATAAGCATTTTACCTAAGATTATGATTTTTATTTCTTACCCATTTACCCAAACCTTACTGATACCACTCAGGGTTAAAGATGAATTTGATTATGTTCATTGACAATAAAAATGTATTAAAATAAATGTTTTGCACACCTCAACATTTAACATTATTTTCACTTAGGTACCATTTATAGTTCTAAAATAGCTCCTTATGTTCTATAATTGTGCTATAATCTGTCAGACTGGTACTGTAATCCTCTCTGAAATGACCTTTTCTTGTGTTTATTATTATTTTATTGTGTTTAAGTTGTTTTTCATTTTGTCATTTTAAAATAAGACTAACTTGACACGTCATGTAAAAAACTAAATAAATAAATACAATTTTAAGAAAAAGAAGCATTTTGACAGGATGCACATTTTCCATAGCAGGTTTCAAGTCCATATTTATTTATTTCTCTCAACAGAACCCAAGTGACAATCAGAATACAGTACTTTATTCCTCAAACATGTTTTTTCCTTTCCTTTTTTTTTTTATTACGCAAAACAAGAGAACACTCAGTGCAATAAGACAGAGGACTGACGGTGCGGTGCTCTCTCTACCTTTTCACAGTGCACGTTTATACACACAAAAAGATTGTACATCATCATCATTGTTACATTTCCAACCTTCACCCACCAACATCATGAGGGCAAAGTGAATGTCTTAAGACAATCATTTTTTTTAAACTAGCAACTTGCATACAGTGTAGCCTGGCGCACACACTCATGAACACACACACGCACACACACGCACACAGCTCTCTCCCTCACACGCATACCGGTACCAACGAAGGTTTCTGAATCGTTGATTCTCATAGAGAGGGGGTACTGCACTTGCACTTTAGGGGCTGTTGTTAAACCCATACTATTTTGGCAATGTTGACATTGCCTTTTAATGTGCAAAAGAGAACCAACTGAATTCATGCAAATAAGAGGTTGAGGTAGAGGGAGAGAGCAGGGGGAGATGAATGTGTATGTAACCAGCCTGATTTAATGTGAAGGAAGATGAGAATTAGTGCAGTTCACTTATTTTTTCATAGCCTGACAGAATTGCAGGCCCTTGTGCGACCCCTCCCCGCTATTTTTGACAGCTTGGAGCTGTTGTCATGTGATAGGTCCTTCAATAATTTGATCTCTAAAATGGTTGCCAGCCATTGAATTGGATTGGAAACATTGTCAGAGACACCCAAATATAGATGAGTGTATGTCACACACCCAGCCATTCTCCTGAGGCTTTACCTTTCAGCCAATAAATGAAAACTTACATGGCACAACTCACTATTCCTTACAATTTCAAAAAAATATATATAAGCATAAACTTGAAAGTTACTTCTTAAGCAAGTGCATATGGCTATTATAATCTGCAGTGAAATTAAGAAATCTTCTAAAAGCTCAGGTGTTGATTGTACGGGCTGGTCGTTGGCGTCAAGTATTTACACTGTCACGGTGCTTTGCAGTGTGCATGGCAATGTAAAGATGCTGGTACTCGCCAGCTATTGCCACTAATCCCATTTTAAATAACCAAGCATCCAAAGTGCAACCACACCCATATCTCGCTTTTACAGGCTTTGGCTGGTCTTGGAAAATGATCCTGTTTATAATGTATGTTCTAATTTGCTACCTCCCCACCCCGCCCTCATAGTGTATTTTAGAATACAGCAAAAAACATTACACACTATCTCTGTCCTCTACAAATGCCAACAGGCTTTCCTGCGAAACAGCTTTAAAAGGCTTTTACGTAGTGACCACACAGTTTCTCACTGTTAAATACAAACTGAAGCACAAGTAGTTTCCTGTTTCTGTTCTAGGACCAGCTGTTGTACATTCTAGAACATCCTGGACCAGGCATGGAGAGACCTGGACTCTAAAGCACGGCGACGTAAACTCCTCAACTTACAATACAACAGTGAAAATGTAAAGTATATATAGACAGAATTAAATAGTCCATTCATTTTAGTGCTTTTAAGCACAAACAAAAAGCGCTTGGCATAAGAAAATTATGCAACTACAGTACAAGTATCGATAGATTATGTTTTGAAATGTAAAATAACCTGAACAAAAATAACATAAAAACAAATATTAGATTGCATCTACATCTACTATACATAATTTAAGTTTCCTTTTGATCCCCATCATCTCATTTAGAAAATATCTATTCATCATCAAATATCTACTCTACTAATTACATTACAGGAGTCCAGTCACAGGAAATAGAAAAATATCAAATATCACCAGTGATGATAAGAAACATGACAACCTGAACAAGCAGAAATATTGCTGTGGTAACCACCATTGTCCTTTGACATCAGTGAGCATCATCCCTCTTGTCCTCTCAGCGGCCGCCTTGAAGCCTGTGATGTTTTAGGGAGGAGAGGGAGTGGTTAACTGTGGGTTATGTGTTCGAAATGCCTTGTAAATGTCAGATGGCGGTATCCCAGAATACCGTTGTCTGGGTGGGGTATGGAGGAGGACGGATCTTCTTGGTCCCGCCGTTTTTTCCCCAGCTTGGAAGGACAGATGTATTTTCCTGCTTGCACTGACTTCGTTCCTGGTGCCTGTCCTCATTCCTGTCTGGCAGAGGAGGAGGAGGCCTCTCCAGAGATTTCTGCAAGTGCGGATGCTGTCTGGAACGGATTTCCATGCATAGGGTGCGTTTCCTCTCGATTTGCTCTAGCATAGTGGTGTCTCCACATATCCATGGCATCTGGGGCATCTGAGCAACACATTTAACATACCACGTGAAATAAATACAAATTAACTCTTTCTAGAATTTCTTTTTGATGTCATTCACAATTGACTAAGTGATCATATAACACAAAAAATGAATTCAGGGGCGGATGGGTGTGGTTTTTGATTTGATTTGGTGTAACCCAGCGTCTCACCAGTACTGATCATTTTTAATGGAGAGAATGGTAAACCCATTTATCTGTTCCCGGCTTTAGGCAATAAAAGAAAAAAAAAAATAGAAAAATGATTTTGACAAAAATCATGTTCACCAAATTGCTGTGCTAGGAGCACCCTTACTCATGAACTTCACCCTACACTATGACTTAATAAATCAGTTTAAAAAAAAAATACAATTGATATATCTGGCAGAAGATGACGAGTTAAACATAATGTAGATCTCTCTGAAAGTTCTGAAACCTGCTGTGGATTTCTCTTCTCTGTCTTTGCAAACGATTTACATTTTTAAAAAAATAAATCTACAGTTGTAACCACTACGTTTTAATAAACTGAAGATTTTTCACATTACTAATGAAAAATGCCTAATTAATCAGTGTTATTAATTAGTGTTTTGTCAAAATAGTTAACTAGTCAGTCAATTGAATAGTCAGTTAATTTAAATTGCTGAGATAAAAGAATCCCCACACCAGTTTGAAGACCAACTAGAACAAAATGTCTTTAAACAGTCCAAACTGTTCCATAACAGACTAAGAAATAAGTTTTCAGGACCTATAAGAAACTGACACTTCAGGTAAAGAGACAGACAAGACAAAACAAAACAAAAGAAAGAACAAACCAGATATGCATACCTGACTTTGATGTGTCTCTGTTGCCCTCCTTTGTGGAGTTCCCACTGGGGAAGGATTAGCAGGTTTAGACGGTGAGCGGGCATACTTAGATGCTGCTTTCAGATCTACAAAGGAATAAAAAATCACATTTGGTAGTATGCCATTTGAATAGTTATATGCATTGTCTAATGCCGCCTTAAAATTTAGGTCCTAACACTCACCATTTCCTGTTCCCATGGTCATTGGAGGGCTACCTGATGGCCTTCCGTGGTGAGTGGGTGTTGTTGTTGATGAATGCTGTCCTGATATTGTGCTGCCATTCCTCTCTTGTGCTTTTGACTGGTCTGTGTTGTAATTGGCTCTGTTATCTCGTCGGGGGGTGCCATCTGATCTGTATCCTCGCTCCTTATTATCACACTTGTATTCCATTGATGAAGGGCTCTTGGTGCTCTTGATGTCAAAATGATGATGCTCTGAGCCATTCAAACTTCTGTCTTTGCTGTCCCGCCTCACTTCAAGGCCAGTTCTGCTCAGATCTTTGCTGTCCTGCCTGGGTAAAGGAGGAGGAGGAAGATCTCCACTACTGTGGCAGCTTCGATCTCTCCCCTCATACCTGGATTCGGAGTTGGAACCAACTCTGTCCCTGCTGTTGCTGCTTCTGGATGCTTCTTGTCGGGGAAGGATCTCTGGTGGCTGATCTATTCTACCTTCATATTTGTGCTCCGTGTCATTCCATTCTCTCTCTTTGCTCTCCTGTTGGGGTAACAAATCGGGACGATGGTCTTTGCTATCATGCCTGTATTCTGGTCCGGTTCTAACCCTGTCTTTGCTCTCTTGTCGGGAAAGAAGCTCAGGGGGCCTATCTCTGCTTTCGTGCTTTGAGTCCATACCATTTCTGGCTCGCTCTTTGCTATCTTGTCGGGGTAAGAGTTCAGGTGGCTGATCCAGTCTCTCTCTGCTTTCATGTCTGTAGTCTACAGGATTTCTTGCCCTTTCCTTGCTGTCTTGCCTTGGCAACAGCTCAGGTGGCTGATCAAGCAGTCTGTCTCTGTCTTTGCTCTCCTGTCTCAGCAAAGACTCCATTCCATGTCCCCCACTTCGATCTTTACTGTCTCTCCTTGGTAATAGGTCACCATTGCTAATCCCTCTGTCCTTGGAGTCTCTTCTTATCAAAGGGATTGTTTCTATGGAGCTGCTGCCCCTATCTTTGGAGTCCCGCCTCACAGGGATGGGCTCTGCATTGCTGCAGGCCTGGTCCCTGCTATCCCTGCGAACAAGCTGTGCATCTACATTGCTACAAGTACGGTCTTTACTATTTCGTCTGTGGGGCAGAGGCTCTGCATTGCTGCTTCCTCTCTCTTTGTCTTTTTCTCTGTCTTTGTCTCTGTCTTTTCTATGTGAAGACTCTTTACTGTGACGCTCCTTGGATTCACGCTTGGACTCCTTGCTGTGACTGTGACGTTCCTTGC